TGAACATTTCTGTCTTCGTGTCACCTCTTGTAAACATCAGTTTGTGTCTGCCAGGTTATGAGCTGTCCAAAGTAGAAGGGAAGACGGGAACTCCCGAAAAGCCGCTTTCTGATCTCGGTCTCTTGTCCTATCGCTCTTACTGGTCCCAGACCATCTTGGAAATCCTTATGGACCTTAAACCAGACAATGGCGAAAGACCACAGATTACCATCAAGTAAGCAAATATTCTGGATCTTATATGAGCTATAAAAAAATGTTTATAGATGAATGTTTGGAGCTGAAATGTGTCGTCTTTGTACTTGCAGTGAGATCAGTGAGATCACAAGTGTAAAGAAAGAAGATGTTATTTCCACACTTCAGTACCTCAACCTAATCAACTATTACAAGGTGAGAGATGAGCACCAACTGTAAATTAACTGTTTACACTTTGCTGGAAAATACACATTTCATTAGATTTGAAATGCTAAAGACCCAAACTCTGAAGCCTTGAATTTTTAATTTGAATAACGCACAGATGGGAAAGGTAAGCAGAATTCTAGCACCTGTTCAGCTGGGTACACTGCTGCTCATTGATTCGTCACTTAGAAGTCTTTTTTCTCCTTAACCAAATGAAAGAGGTTGAATGTTTGTTCGGCGAGCTTTGAAGATAAAAAAAAAAAAATAGTAGAAACTGAACGGCGAGCTGTGACTTCACGCATATATGGGCTAAATCAACACTGATCACAGGGAAGTGAGCGGGACCAAAGATGATTTTTCTCAACTTCACATGAAGCGACTGAAGCGACTACCAGTGAGATTGAACAATACTGTCGATTCATGTATGATCTGGCAATAAAAACATTAGAGCGTTACCTAGGCCTCGAATGTGAGACCATTCGGCAGCTGCAAAGCGATGCGTGACATGTAAATCGCTTCCTAAAATTGCACGATCATTAGCCAAACCACTAGCAATGTTGATTATTTGGAGTTAAGAAGCTAAACGGTTAACACCACATCAATCATATATTTGAAGTAATGATAATCTCAAGATTTTGTTTTGATGATGAGAGCTAGATGTCTTATCAACAGCACAAAAAGACTGCACATTCCAAAGATTCTCCATAGGGTTAAAGCCTGGACTTTCTATTGGTCATTAGTGTAAAAACGCTGTTGTTTTGTAAACAATGATGTTAAATCCAGGTGGTGACTTTGTCTCAGCTCAGCTTGAGTTTACCACATGCCAGTCTCTCGCAGCAGTAATCATTACTCGTGGGTTTGCCTCATTGTAGCAGTTTTTTTGTTTTTTAATACTCCTTTTGTGGCTTTCAAAGTGCAAAAACCCTAATTTAATGGCTTTGTGAGGAAAAGCAGTAACACTCCCAGAGCGGGAAGTGTTGCTACGACGCTGCAGCCGCACCTTAAATATTTAAGGCTCTGTTTAGTGAGTTGAAGAAGTTGAAAGCAGTGGAGCATCAGCACCTTTTCAAATGAGCTGATAAAATGATGTGTACTGACTTTGGTTTCTTGAATGCAGGGTCAGTACATTCTGACTCTGTCAGAGGACATTGTGGAGGGACACGAGAGAGCCATGCAGAAGCGGCACCTGCGCATAGATCCTAAATGCCTTCACTTCACTCCAAAGGACTGGAGCAAAAGGGGGAAGTGGTAGAGTTGGTTGCTAAATGACACCAGAACCCCAGACACCCGACGCAAACGGGGGATCAGATCAAGGTTTTCCCTCGGCTTTCTCATCAAGAACCCAGGACTTCTCTTCGATAAACAGTGAACATGAATTGTTTTGTTAAACGTTCATTCTATATCGTGAATCTAAAAGGGCGTCAAAGCTGGGCAGAGGGAGAGACTGGTTAACAGTAACACCGCCAAAAACACAACACACCTTCTACTGTGTAAAAGATCCTGTTTATGATCCAAACAGTGCATTAAAAATGACAAAAAGGTGACTGTCTATCAGTGTAAAATGACAAACGCACAAACCACTGAAAGGTTGTTTTTATACACGTGATTTTAGATCCTATAGAACTGCTTCATCTGTTAGTCCACATTTTGTAAAACTCACCAAGTACATTTATTTGCTCTTCTTGTTGTTGTTGCTGTTCCCCTGACTACCACTGTGGCCACACCCTCTCATCTGCCATGTAAAAATGTTGTCATTAGGATCATTCGTATTCCAACAAAGTTCACTAGAGTCATAATTAAGAAACAAAACTAATACCTGAACAACACTCCAAAATTTACTTTTTTCTACTTTGAAGTTTTTTTTTCTTCTTCTGTTTTTTAATACTCAAGGCTTCAGGACCTCTAAAACCTCTTCCTGGGTATAAAAGATTGAATAGTTGTTATTAGGAACTAAAATCAGACTGTGGATACTTTTATACTCTCTCTGTGACTAAGGCAGATGTTTATTTTGAGAGTTTAAAGAGGGAAATTGTACATTAAGACTTTTTTTGGGGGGGGTAAGTTTTTCTTCGAGTGCCTGAATATTAATGTTTCTTAGCTAATAATAATTATAATGCATCAGGCTGTTTTTAGTGTCACTTTACTAGGCTCACTTATAAATGTGAACAGCCCAAAACCTTTGCATTATTTATTACATAAAACTCAGAACTAGGCATCAGTTATGTTACATGTTTGTGCAGTTGATGTTCTTGGTTTGAGATCATTCAGGCCAATATTTCTTTTTCTTCTTTTTCATCACTCAAGCATATCATCCCCCTCTTGATTTAAACGTATATTTGCCGTGTCTGTACATACTGATGACAGAAGCCATGTTGAACTTTAAGGAATGTAAATTTCATGTACAGTCGTCTTTCTTTTTTACTCAATGTTATCTAACAAGCTGCACAATGTTAAAAAAAAAGACCTAAAAGTGATATCTTACCTTCAGTTTTGTGTTTTATGTTTACATGTCAGAAAAGGATGTTGAAATGATTTAGTATATCTTTATGTGGAACACTTCAGAGCATTTGAACGTTTGATATAAAAAGAAAAGAAAAGCTGGCTGAATTGATAAAAACAACGCGTCTTTATTGTGTTTATTCTGGTCTGAGAGCCACTTTCATCTTTGTGGACAGGTTAAGCCGTGTAAATGAATGGATATAACAAATTCCCAGTGGACACAGTGCATAAAGAGGGTGTTCAAAACTGAGTTAGCTTGTATGTAAATTTAAATTACATACATTTTTACGTAAAATGAATGCAGTTCATGTCAGAATATGCAGTTTGGCAAGAAATTAATACTTCACCAGGAATGTGAAACAAGCTATCCAGCTTTGAGATCCAGCTTTGAGATCCAAAAGGTGCCACAAAGCCCAATAGATGCTTTAGAGGGTGAAGAAATTACGGTAATTGTTATTAATTATTAATTAGTCCAGTTTTCCGCAGTAAAGTTTATGCAGTTGTTTTAACAGGTTGGCTCTGTCATCAAAAGGGGTGCAGGTGGTCCGTGAACCATATACAAGCCCGATTTGTGGCCGGTGCCAAAAAGTGATTTCAAGTATGTGCCAAAAAAAACAACAAATACAGGAATTTAAACTGTTATAAAGGACTTGTTGGCCTATAATATGTCAAAAAATATTTCTCATGAATGGAATCCAGTCTTTGGGCCAGAATGAACATTCCTATCACAAGATAGAAGCTGCAGTCAGTTTTTGACAAAGTGACTTTTATATACTCATTCATTAAAATGTCTTTTTCAATGGAGATCTGGCCAAGAGGGCAACAGAAATGGTAACAAATATAACATAAGCATGTTTTATGTGACCAAACAAAGAAGACGACTGATGAGGAAAACAGATGCAAAACAGGTCATTTTAGATTTTATACATAACCGCTGCACACATTATGTTCACTACAGTCAGTTTATCAATTCTTTTTTTAATATAAACATATTAGACATTAAAAACGATTTAGAATATTTTCACGGAGTTTCAGTATAAAGCTTGATCACCAGGGGGCAGTATTGTGAACCCCTCACCTGTGCGACATTTGAAGTTGAAACCACAGGAGTGTCAAGCGGAGCTGTAATTACAACCTGACCTCTGTAATTGTGTTTGAGCGGCGGAGGAACTGAGTTAGACAACAAGTAGAACAAATTTGGTAACAACCTGCATGAAGAGCAGCACTCTAGCATGTGTGAGATAATTGTATGTTGTTTGTGTTTTTTTAGACTGCACGGTGCATGTTGCTAACGCACACTTTCCCAGCTGAACACGGCACTGCAGTTTACTCTCTGGATGTGTAAAATGTGTAACAATGGATTACACCTCAGTGTCTGCAGGAGGCCTCGTTTATTGAGCACGTTTTAATGGACCTGCTTAAAAGCGCGTGTTGGCGGCGCTCAGGCTTGAAGGCGTTTTAATTTCTGCAAGTCAGGTTTGAGTTATCAGCATCAGCATCACACCAATTTTTCTCTCCCCACCTCACAGAGCCACACCACTCCCCAGGAGGACACAGGAATTTCACACTAATCTAATATCCTCTTCCTGACATCTAGATTTCCTCACCCTGAGTCTGAGTGCTGGCACATTTTTTATGCTTTATGGGCCAAAAGTTTATTTTGGGCCCTGGTTATTTTTACTCAGATACACAGTTGGATCATTAGAGCTGCCAGTTTGGAGTAGTTTGGGCTTTACTTTAACAAGCTTGAATTTTAAGAGTCATTATTATGCAGAAGGATGAGAAGTTCCCATCATTTGTAATTGTTTCAAACTGCTTCATTATACCAAGCGATGCCTCATAAAATGAAATATCTCACTAAGCATAACAACAGATTTCCACATGGTGTCACTGCCGCACTGAGAGTTGTAGGCTTGTTTGGTTTCTTGAAAAAAATCATGCTCCATCACTGCAAACTAAATATTTAAAGATGTATGTTTACCTGGAATTCAAGTGTAGATTGGATGAGAATTGGATGTAATCCACGATGTTAAACCCGTCTGACACAAGGCTGTTTATAGCTTGAATTGACTTTAACCTTTCTTTTTTGCGCTGATTGTTCCATTGTTAGACATTGGTGAAATTTGGTGTCACGCTCCGACACTTGCTGCCGATGCTTTCACTGGCTTGTTGTGCTCGTGTCTCTGCATCAAACAGAAAGCAAAGGGAAGCAGGCATCTCCGCAAAAACACCTCCTGACCCCTTATGAGGACACAAAGAGGTATGAATGTTTGCCACAAAAGCTGGTTTCTCTCCTCTCAACTCTTGTCTCTGTTTTAATTTTTCTTATCTCCCCAAGACACACTCTACCAACAACGCAGGCCTCTCCACTCTGCACTCCTCCCCGCCCCTGCCCCCAACCCCAGATCAGAGCCGCTGACCTCGCGACACACGCACACAAACACACACACGCTGCAACATATGGTACGGCCGGGACAAAACTCCACGCAGTAATTAGGGGGATGGTGCCGGACACTTGGCTCTGCTGCGGTGCAGGTTAAGCAGCGTGATACATCATCTTCTCTCGCGAGCACCATGCAAGGGTTTACCCAAATTGACAGGTACGTGCTTTTAAAGACGCTGCAGTGGCTGATGAGGGAGGACGGCCAAAGCTGTGTTGTTATGTATCCTGTGCTCTCATTGTTCTTAAGGAGGTTGATTGTTTGTTGTGGTCTTCCAGCACACTGAGCATGTTTGGGGAGTACGCAGAGGTCCTCTGCAAATAAACACTCTGTCACACACACACACAACTGCCATTTTCACCTTTTCTTCTGAGGTTGTGTGCACTTTATCTCTCTCGTGCAGAAATTTCAGCGCTGGCGGGGGGAGAGTGACACTTTAAATGAACGCGTTTGATGTCACGAGTGTCGCTTTCCATCAATAAATTAGTCAAAGAGAGGTGGAGAAATCCTGGGAGGCGAAAGTCTTGGTACAACATTGCATCAGCATCGGGTCTGCCACACTGCTGCTCGTGTGTGTGTCACACACCGTTATATACGAGTGTTTCGGGCATTTGAATCAGCAAGAAAAAATGTTTTTAACCACAGTCATGGCCCAGGGAGGGTTTTTGAATTCCAGCGTAAGAAACGCAGAGCTCTCCGCTTGGACGCCGCTGTCCGTCCGCCACTGCCTCAACCTCTCTCTGACAAGGAGAGGAGGAGGAGGGGGGCCGAGAGAGAGAGAGGCCGGGCAAAGCTGTGTGTGCACGAGAGAGAGCGAGAGAGGGGAGGAGGCGAAAGAGGGGGTTGGCTTTACTGTGATGTGAATGGAATAGAATCAGCGCGAGAGGAAGAAAGAGGGAGGAGGACAGCGCAAATCAACCTGCCCCTTGACTTTAACAACAGAATAGAGCCGGCAGACACACAGATCGGGAAGTGTGCGTGCGTGTGCTGCTGTTTTATTTTATTTTTGGAGAGAGGAAGAGAACATCAGACAGGAGGAACTGAGGGAGGAGGAGGAGGAGGAGAAGGAGCCTCACCGTGGAGATAGATAGCAGAAAAATGCTGTCACGGGGAGAGAAGGGGAGGGAGTCGGCAGAGAGGAACAGGATGAAACAAGGCAGGGTTGAGCAGAACTGAAATGTGGAGGTAAGCCTTTTCTTTCCGTATTAAGATTTTACATTCACACTGCTGCCGCCCCACCACCACCACCGCCGCTAACACCCACCCTGTGTCCTCGTCCAGAAGAAGATAATGAATTCAGATTGATGGATCTGCACCCTCTGTGTGCCACATACCTCTGTGTCGGCATGCATATTGCTCTGATAGACAAACCATCCGGCCCACAGACAATGTATGAGAGCAGCAGAGATGTAAAATGATGGGGTTGGCATCATGATATCTTGCAGCTTGTCCTCTGTCTTCCTCTCTGCCCTTTGTGCCATTGCCCCCCCCCCCCTTTTTTTTTTTTTT